ATATTCTAAATTTTTACTAAGTCCATAAAAAGATGTCCTTATTAAGATATAAATTTAAGATTATTTGTTGATAAAATAAATATTAAGATTTATAAAATAATATTTTTACATATTATTATTTTTATCAAAAAAATAGATATTTTAATCAATAAAAAATAATTCTTTGAAAGCTAAAAGAATTTCATCTTTGAACTTTAAAATCAATATTTTTTAAGCAAATTCAATCAAGTATGTCCTCAGATTTTCTTGTTTATGATATTAAAAATAATTTCTCTAAATCTCATGGTATTTCAAAATTTGAGTTTACAAACAATCTATTCTATTTCAAGGGATTGATATATATATATATATATATATATATATATATATTTATAGAAGATGAAATACAATTCTAAGTTATTCAATCTTATTACAATTTTTTAGCTATAGAACATTTGGGATACAACAATACTTTGGACTTAATATCTAGAGATTTTTGATGATTTTAATTATAGAAGGTAGTTTAAATCTTTGTAAAATCATGTGATGTTTGTTTAAGATAAAAAAATCCATGTCATTGACTTAAAAAACTTTTTCGTCCATTATCTATATAAAAATAAAAATAATTTTTTATTTCAATAGATTTTATCAAAGATCTTTTAATTTCAAGCTCAAATGATTTTATATTTGTGATAGTAGATTATTTTTCTAAGATTTTATATTTAACATTATTTATAAAAACTATCACAATTGAAGAAACAACTAAATTTTTTCTTGACAATATTTATTAGTATCATGGATTACTAAAAGATATTATATTTGATAGAAAAATTCAATTTGTATCAAAGTTTTAGATAATTCTTTTTAAAATATTGAAGATGAATATAAAATTATCTTTAGTTTTTTATCTTCAAACTAATAGATAATTAAAATAAAAAAAATTAAGTTTTAGAATAGTGTTTAAGATGTACCATTAATAACTATTAAAATGATTATAGAATTCTTTTTCTATTGGCAAATTTTGCTTATAATTACATGATATATTCTTCTATTCAATAAATACCTTTCTTTGCTAATTATTATTATTATCCATAACTTGATATTTTTTATTACTAAAAATTTAATAATCCTATGGCAAAAGATTTGGAAAATTCTTTATTAGAGCTACATGCAAAAATGAAGGCACAATTAAATAAACTTAAGGATGATACAAAATCAATGCACATTCCTAATGCAAGGAACAACTTCAATTCTATATTATTAATAATATATGCTTACTATATTGTAATATTAAGTTTAGTTGCTCTTATGAAAATTTGGATTATTACAAACTTAGACCATTTTACATTTATAAAAAAACCAATTTAATTACATATCAATTATATTTATTAAAGTCTATAAAGATCTATTTTGTATTTCACATATTTATCTTTGAGCCATACAAGACAATAAATATACCAATAAGAAGACAAATGTCACCTCTTCTTTAAGAAATAGATAATAATCAAGAATTTAAAGTGGAAAAAACTTTAGTTTCAAGGTAATGTTGAAATATATTAGAATATCTTGTACATTGGTATGGATATGATATTAGTGAATGCACATGGAAACCAATAAGAAATCTTATATATGTAATAATTTTTTTGATATTTTTCATTGACAACATAGAAAAAAATAAAAAATATAGAAATGAAGATGTGATCACTACTCTATATGGAATTCGTTCCTAAAATGGAAAATAATATCATGGACATACATAATTATTTAAATAGCAAGTATTAGATAAAAAATAAATATAAGTAGATTTAATAATATCTTGTAGAGAAGCCTTTTAGAAGCTTTATAGATGTGGATTTAACTTTATATATATTTGTAGTTGATTAGCAAGTTGGAAACGTGGCCAATAAATTGGCCATGTGGTGCACCTGTAAGAAACTTAACTTGCAAGTCAAACACATGTCTTGTAAGTTGAACATATATTAGAAGTCTCATAAAATATTGCCACATAGCTCTTAGTTAGATAGTATATATAGAAGTAAGAGTGAAGCCTTCTTCACTCGTATCAACACCTTTTTTGTAAGCTTTGTTTTAAAAATATCTAGTCTTTTTTTCTTTGGTAATAATTATTCAAGTTTTAATACTAAACTATTTTTGAGTGAATATCTATTCTTTTGAGTGACACAAAATTCTATTAAGGTTTTAATTGTTTATGATTCATATCCTTATTATTATGGTATAGTAGAAGTATAACAAAGAAAATATACTTATAGAAATATTGTTGTAACAATATTGTATTGACTATAGATGTATGACCACTATAATGTAAAGTGCATTGCAATAATTAAAAAAATATGTAGTTAATACTAGAAGATATTATAATATATATATATATATATATATATATAAATAAATTTTATTTTTTATTATTATTTCAGTATATTAATCATATTAAAAAATCTACTAAGAGATCTTTGTATCTATGATTTAATTTTAAAAAATTGTTGTCTCAATTGAAAGATGAAGACTTACTTGCTTCAAAGTTTCTTAATAGTTATTGTTTTTTCAAAAAATCAACTCAAAACAAGTATGTTGATACTTGTATTAAAAAATTAACATAAAATAAAGTTTAAATACTTGATATTATAATATATAAAATTTTATTTTATTTTAGTTTATTTTAGTTTAAGATAATATAATATTTTCAAACCATTAACAATGATTTTTTTGATATATATATATATATGTAGTTAATTTTTTTACATCAAATTTTTATTAAAATATAATAAAAAGTTAGTCTTTTTCAAAATTGTATCGAAAAAAAAAAGTAACAACTTAATATTGTAAATTTTTAGTTTTTATAACAATCCAACATTTTTATTGTGAACCATTAGATTTAATGTTATTATATAATTACATAAAATCCAAATAACATTAAATAGTATTTGTTACAAATTCTAATTTTTGTTCTTCAAAAGACAATTAAAATGTTTTTTAAGTCATTAAAAATGTCCTATATCCAAATAAAAGAACCATTAAGTTATTTGATAGTAATTGCAATGGTCTTTGGAATCTCAAATGAGATGTTTTAAATCTCAATATCAATATTGAGGATTATTTCTATTAAATAAATAAATAAATATTTGATAAGATAATTTTTAATCATATAGAGTTAATTAAAATGTACATAATCTTAATATTGTTATCTTGTCTTTGGTTTTGAGATTTTCTCTTCATATAGCCTTTGAAAGTGGTAAAATTATTTTTACTAAAGTCTTGAAAAATATGTACTAAAAATTATAAATAAATTATAAATATATTTCAAAAAGACTTTTAACCTTTTTGAGATATTAACTTAAAATTAGAGCTATTTTATCCTATTTTATCCTACTCTAGTGATTTCTCATATAAATTTTATTATATCATTAAAAAATTTATTTTTTACTCAAATAATCAAGAAATAATATCTTTTTTTTTAAGCTTCTTCTACCTACAAACTATTATTTATGAGGTTATAAAAAATAATAAATATGAGTAGGAAAACATTTAAGGCATTGGTCTTAAAAACTGAACAAAAATACTCACAATTAAAAGAAATTACTAGACTAATTAGGATAATTGCCTCTGAGACAATTATTGAGACAATTATTAAAACTCCGTTTTTAAGATTTTATACTTGACAATACTCTTGTAATCTATACAAAATTTAAAATCCTAATTAATATTTAAACAAAGAAATATACCTTTATAACTTAATACTTTCATATTAAAATAATACTAAAAAAATAGAAATTAGAAAATTCACTAATTGATATGCATTTGCAGAACTCACAATTATACATATATATATATATATAGTTTAAAAGAAATACAATATTGAAAGTTAATATGTATTTTTTTCATTTAAAAATTTAATATCATACCTGTGATAGATATTTTCATAAATTTCGTTGTTGTTATATATTTTATTTCATGCTTGTTCATTTAATTTATAAAATATTTCTTTTTGTTTATGTTTTTTTTGGTTGAATTCTTTGATTTTTTGAAAATATAGTATGAGTATAATTTATTATGCATGGATGGTATAAAGACATGGATGGATGTACATTCACACTGTAAAATATTTTCAAAGATCACATGTATTGTTATCAAAGGAAATGATTAGAATTAACAAGAATTTGATATAATTGATTATATGATAATAAATTTAATTTGTGACCAATAGAAAATCAACAAGATAGAAAGATCAATGGTAATAGTGGCTTTGGGGATGTACTGTAAACAGATACAAAATCAAACATTTTCAAGCAACATTTACTTTAATCTCAACATTTTCTTTTGCTGTTACATCCAACCATGGAAGTATGAACATAAAAAAATAGGATAGGTTTTCATGTTGAGTCTTCAACATTGCATGTATACTATAATGTATACTACATTCAGTATATGATTTAATATAAAAATTCATTCTACCCAAATTCAAATATTTATCACCAACTTCTGAATTATATTTTTTAACACATTCATTTTATACTGAAAGGTTCAAATTTTAGTACTGGCCCTTCTAAACCTGGGTAAATTCTAATCTAATATTTAGTAAAATGTAATATTTTTAAATAAAAACATATACATTCATTAAATAAATATAGAAACATGATTTATTGTAGTTATTAAAAAGTGAATGATAAACATTGTTATTGAGTGCACTAAAGAAGCATGAGTTTATCATGAACCAAATGTAAAATACACAATATTTAAGTTTAACTTATAAAAATATAATGACCTTATCAAAATTAAATTTTCGCATAAAAGCATATACATGCATAAATACATAAATAAATACGCCATAATATAAAAATTATTACATTATATCTGCCATAAAATCAATTTAAGGAAATAATAAATTCATTTATAATAATTTCAATGAGAATTAAAATTTTGTGATATTGAATTCCAAAGGCTTTGTTCAAGGCTTCCACAAGCTCAGATGGGGAACACGGGAACACTTTTTGGGAACAAACATTGGGAACAACCTCATCCCTGGTGGACATAAGCCCTACGCCTCCACAATTGAGGCTCTCTTCTCCAAGTTGCTCTCCGCTCGATCTCCGCAGCCGCTTTACGCCATGGTATGCACCTCATTTGCCTCTGATGTGTTTCTCATGTCTCTGCCGGATTCGCGCAGTTTCGATTGATAGGTTCTGGGCGTTGTTTCATTGCGTATTGCGATTGTGGTGCGAAACCCTAATTATTGAATGCTTGTATTGAGTATGGCGGACTGGCTTGTAGTTTGGTCAGCTTGTCTCTGTTGTGTGGAGAGAGGTGCGATCATGCGTTTATGGAACTGTGAGATGTGAATCTCAGATCGCACTTGTAGGTTTGTTGTCGCGTGATATGGACGGGAGTTGTGGGGTGTGCTTGAGAATGTGAAATGATTGTATGGCAGGCGGAGCAGTTGAAATGGTGTGGATTGGATTTGTATTTTGTTTTGGAGAGTCAATGGGAGTCAGAAGCATGATGTGACGGTTAGTGGGTATCTGCAGACGAAGGGAACGGGGAGTTTTGGTAAGCGCCGGAACAAATCACACACGCTATGCCGGCGTTGCGGGCGCCGGAGTTTTCATATTCAGAAAAGCCGGTGTTCGGCATGTGCCTACCCTGCCGCCAGAGTCCGGAGCTGTACGTGAACCGTTTTGAGTTGGACTTCCTGCATTTGAATTTCCTTGTTGTATTTTAAAATGTTGTGATCAATCGTATTCAGAACCTGGATTAGCAAATTTGTTTCTCAGTGAGCACGACATTCATTTCCTCCAATTTATTGATTTAATCTGTTAAGTACCACAGAAAAGAGGCTCTTAGATTTTAACTCTATGATACTACTTGTGGATATCATGTTTGAGTACCTTGAGATGGATTTTTAGAACTGGTTGATATTACGTCGTTTCCCTCAGGATGTTCCCATCAACTGTTTAAAATTTGAAGTGAGAGGGCATTCACTCTGATGTTCAGCGCGTCAGGATTTTTGGGTTTGACGCGTCAGAATCTTTCTGTAGCACTCTCTGTTCTACAATAAGCCTGTCCCTTTTCTTTGTAACCAAATTCAGAGAATGCTGCAGATAACTGGAGCGTGAAGGCTATTAGGAGGAAGACCACTGGAACGGGACGCATGCGTCATCTTCGCCATCTTCCCCGCAGATTCTCTAACAATTTCAGAGAGGGTACGTCCGCTTTTACTACCTTTCTCTATCTTCTCACTTTGACAGGAAATTTTGCAACATCCCGCATTTCGAAAAGACTCTCTTCGCTTTCTGAACGGATAATGTGTGAACATGAATGCAATGTGAAGAATTTGTTTTGTAGTTTTTTCCTTCAGCATCATCAAATTTTTTGATTCGCGAAACGAAATGAGCTAATACTTGATTGCTTTCAAATTTAGATAGTGACTTACTGCTATTGTGTAGTTGTTTGTTAAGTGTACTCTTAATAACCTAACCCTGCTGAATATAACAGGAACTCAAGCTGCTCCAAGGAAGGCGCCCGCATCATCCTAGATGGCAAAGGGAGTTATTTAGTGGAGATGACATGTCCCACTTTTCTTGTACTTGGATTTGCACAAGGGTTGTCCTTTTATCACCCATTTAAGGATGTACTAAATAGATGAATGCTGATCCAGCAGCGCATTATTTGAGAAACTGTGGAATGTGTCTGCTCTTCTGTTTAGTCGGTCTTGGAAAGACTTACCTTTTAGTTTCAAATATCCTACTTACATGTATGCGCGGTGAAAATTGGTATCAGTTGTGGCCCAGTGATATATCCAAGTCCACATTTGATTCGATCAAAGTCCGAGGCTGGTTTGAAGGAAATGGCAATGTCGTGCCAGAGTATGCTTTTCATTATCAAGTCTTTGCGATGGACATTTTTAGAGTGAATGCATGAGATTTGTTGTGGTCCTGCACCCGAAGGCAAGCTGCAGTCTTGTGAATATATTGGTTTTCCAATCGCAGTTGGATTTGGCAAGGTTATGTTGGGAGCGGCGTGGTACCAGGTCATTCGAGGTCATTGGAACGCCTATGTATGTGGACATTGAATTATGTAACCAGTTGTGCATGAAAAGTTTTAATTATGCATGTGGATCCTGCGATTAGATACAAAGTTAAATTTGTGATGGGGATGGCGCAGTAGTTGAAATAACAGGATGGAAGAATCTCAGTAATCGAGTGACTCGTAGTAGTCTGAGTCACACATGATGCAGAACTGTGTAATTATCACTATGTAACTTATTGTTGTAAATGTTTCGCTACCTATTTACCGACAAAATAGTATTTAAATGAGCAGTCTGGGGGAAGGTGCCCTTGAAGTTTGCAAACAGGTACATATTTTCTTCAGAACATTTTCCTGTCATTTACATCTGAATTGAAGGTCAACTACCAATGACAATGACAATGGCAAGATAACTGAAAGCAATAGAACACAACCCAGTTTTTTTCTACACGAATGTACTCTATTGTTGACTGCAACTTTTTTTAAATATATCAATCAGATGATCACGACCCTTTACAAACCTAAATTGACATGTAGATCTTTAAATTAGACGTATCATTTTAAAAACAAACGGTAGTGAACAAGGATGATTTACTATAAACTGTACTCGCAAAAAGAAAAGTATAAAAAGCATCAACTTAAGTAAGAGGCAATTCATTTTTGATACAAACCAAAAATGTTATTTGGAATTTTGGTTGTCATACAACTTGGTTGTAGAAAAGATATTTCTTGTTAGAGTTCTATTGTAATAGAAAGATAAAACAAAATGGTCCAAAGAATTGTAATGTGGAAAATGTTCTCAATTGTCTTTCCAAATCATATTAATAATTCACTTCTAAATAATTAAAATAAGGGGAATGTTAAATAGATCCATTCTTTTAGTAAATAGATCTACCCTTGATGAAGAATATGATAATCATGATGAATATGGTTGGTTTTTATTGATTTCAAATTGAATAATGAAAAAATGAATCTAAAAATCATCATTTTTTTTCATGATAGTTAGGATAGGTGGGTTGATTTAATATAAAATTGAGTCTGTTTAACATTCCCCTATAATAAAAGTACCTTATATTTATAATTGTTATCAAAATAATTTTAGAAAAAATTATTAATATTTAAACAGAAAATTCTAAATAATAAGAATCAAGATGTCATTTGAAATATTTTGAAAGCGTACGAACTAGTATGTTGTTTCTTATAATTATTTAAAATAATACTCTATATAATATTTCAATATAGATTGTTTATACTGGAGGAATTCAAAATGAGATTGCTTCTTATAAAACTTGTTTCCAAAAGAAAGAATGATATTACAAATATTTAATCTATACAAGAAATTGAAGAAAAAAAGTAATTAGGAATAATTAGGTGATTTTTTTATATATGTATATTTATATATGTATTACTGCTTCTAATTTCTAATTAGAATCAATCAAATCTAATTTCAAGTTTTAAGTCTTATTCTTTTTTTTATATATTATCACTTAAGATTTTTTTTACTTTTAGATAGAAAACATTCTAGATCCTCATGACTTCAACTACTATACTAATTGATAAGATAAGGTGTACGTATTCTTTTCTTAATATTGTATAAAATTAAAAATTATTTATTATAGTATTTGTGGATTAAATGATTTACCAAAAGTTTTAAAATTATGTTTATTTTTATAATATCTCTTCTGAATGAAATATTATTCTTTACCAAAAACTTAAACTTTGAAATTTTTGGAACCTCAACAGTTTTGGGGCACAAGCATTGCAAAAAAACTGGCATTTGGTCCATAATAAGGTCTTACTTTTACACAATAGAGCATTTTGAATCACATTTTACATCTCAAGTGATTCAATTGGTATTTTTAAAATTTATGACTTAATAAGCAACAAGAAAGGAATAAAATACAGGTAGATTTAGAAGATATACTACCTTATAATACTCTCTTCAACTTTAGAAGAAACTAAAATATGATTAAAAGAGTTTGTGATAAGTCTTTATTTTGCAAAAGACTTCTATTCAAAGATAAGGAGAATTCTTAAAAACTATTTCAATCTTGCCTTTTTTTTTAGTAGATTCTTTCAAACAATGAAATGAATTGAATTATTTTTAGGATAAAAAAGAAACAATGTTTGTATTTTTACTAAGCTAAATAGATCTATATTATCTCTACTTTATTAGAAAAAGAACAAATGTCTAAGTATTGTATAAAAGGTAATATTATATTATTAGATCATCTTCTAAAAGAGTTTATTGTTTATCTTCTAAGTCATTTCCATGCCAATCCATAAGATTCTTATATTTAAGATCAACTTGAGAAAATTCAATTTCAACTCAATCAACAGAATGAATGATTATCAAGAAGGGCAAATAATTTTTGCTAAGACAAAGTGGAGGCTAAGAATATAGAAAATAACAATGCTACAAATTTTTTCAAAGTGGTTAAGATAATTTATCCAAGTTTAATATTTAAAAATTAAAAAAAAAAAAAAAAAAAATCCTGAAAGAATTTTCTAATTAGAACCTCAAGAAGTTGAAACTATTTATTTTAGTTTTTATTCTCTATTTTTTGAATAAAAAAACCAAATCTTTTGAATCATTATTAGCTTCCAACCTCTTCTCTTATTGAATATCATTCCTTATAATATATATATGAAGACAAATTCAAATTTATGTAGGCATTTTAGTTTCAATCAAATTAAAAATTTATTAATAGAAATGACGAAGAAATGATTCCAAGTTTTAATGGAGTTAGTATAGAACTTTTAAAATTATTTGGGTATATTATTAGAGAAGACTATATCTCCATAATTAATCAAGTGTTATTTCAGTGCCATTTTCTACAAAACATTATCAAAAGATTTATCACCTTCTTACACAAAGGGAACATTCAAATTTTACTAAAAAATTGGAGACCTATTGCAATCAATCCATAGTAGTGAAGATGATCCATCCTAACCAAACCACCTTTATCTTCTAACAATTTATTCTTAACAATGTGTTGGTCACACAAGAAACTGTTAGTTGAGCAAAATCTTGTAATCAACCTCTTCTTCTCTTAAAATTAACTTTGCTAAAATTTTGCTAAAGTATCTTGAGACTTCTCATTCAAAATTTTAAAAACTTCGGATTTAGTGCCATTTTTTGTCATTTTGATCAAACTCACCTTCAAGGGAGCCAACACTGTCTCTGAGCTGCCATTGCATTTGCTACAAAATTGGATGGATCCATAGTCTGGTCAGCTGGGTGTGCTCAGACTACAACAAACATGACTCCAAGCTCATTGGTAAGTAAAAGCGTGTGAGTTGGGAAGCCACTAGACTGATCATCTAGTCGAGGTGTGACATTGGTCGAAGATATGACGTCTTCCAGTGAAGTTTGTTGCCAGAATCCGGTGGTAGATTTTTTGCCAATCGAGTCTGCAGGAGCTCACTCAGATGGCCGACGTTTGGAAGCAATCGCATATGCATTAGTTGCTGTGATTGAACGCGCAAAGCAGTTCAGTCGTTCAGTGACAGAAGCATGGCGACTCCCCGGCGTACCCAGTGATCAGGGTCCTCGATTGTGGGCAACTCCACGTTGAAGACGAAGTTGGAGGAGTGGCCCGTCGTTGCTAGCACGCCCCGTCGCTCAGATGTACGATACAATGGGCACATGTAGCATCTCTGACGCCTCTTCTTTGCCATCGTAGTTGGAAGAAGCCACAGCATGGGCGCATCTGAGAACAGGATCTGACGAGGTGATGCAACATAGATCATTGTTAATGTCCCGCCAATTCGAAACGATCCACGCGGATCATTGCATGTGGATGTGTAATCTGAGAACGACCAGTAACGTTGCAGAAAGACTTGATGAAATCTGCGCAAGAGTCTACCATGTGGACTTGAAACGAAGTGCTTTTTGTATATCTGGCAGACTGAATGAATTGGTTGTGATGACAATCATCTGCACTCCTGGTGGCCAACTATTGTGATTGATTACGGAAACTGATTGATAGTTACCTTTTCATACGATTCCATGACGGAGCTTTCGTCGTCGTCCCAGCGAGCTCCATGCATGAACATTCCGTAGATATAACAGCCGTCCTCCGGCCTTTCGCTGTAATCGCCCACCTGCTTCAAGGTGTTGAACTCGAAGCAGACTGTGTCTATGGGAATCCTATATTTTCTGGCATAATTTTGCAGCACTCCAGTTAAAAATGCGTGTGTGAAGAAGAAGCCACTGATCCAAAACTGAGCGGGAGGGCCATTGTCCATCCAGGTTTGGAGCATGTTGAGCCGAGCCACAAGATCATTGAAGTAGCTGCCAAGAGGCATCATGGTGGGGTAGCTGGAGGGTGCCCACAAAACCGGCATCTTTAGGTCGAAAAAGTTGTTCGACAAGGTCTCGATTGCGCTCGACATAACGACCAGTCCTTGGAGTGCCTTCAGGAGCGTCCCCAAGCTCGAACGGATCACCTGGCAGTCACAAGACATTATAAGCAGTGAGAATGTCGTTTTTGTGGATTTCTGTATGTGGTGAATGTGCTCCACCAATATCATCGAGCACCTGATTTACGTAAAAAAATGCGACAGTTGTACAAGTTAGTATTAGTGCAACCACGAAGGGTTTCATTTGATGTCCGACGTACATCTGTGAGCTTGTTGAACCGAACCATTTCCTGAACAAGAACCGAGTTCATGCTCTCGTCGTAGCGGACAGGGTACTTGAATCGGGCTAACTCCAAATCGAAGGAGGGTGGCAGTCGATTCCGCTGATCAACCACGATATCCATGATAATTCTCTCCCGACTTCGTCCCTCGCCTGTTTTACTTTGGGCCTGTAGGCACTCAAGATTGGCACGGTTTAGTTGTTCTCGAATTTGTGTCGTCAATTCGTAGAAGAACTTAGGTTAACTGCTCCTGAAGACAGTCTTATTCATCTGAAATCACCAGCTATTGTACACTAATTATTTGATCATGCACAATTATTTACTTGCACCCCACGCAATCCCTTTGTGCTGGCTAGCGTTGCATTCTAGAATAAAAAAATTCAGTGAATTGGTTTGACCTGGGTAGAGCGTATTGAGCTGAGTAGCAGGTCCACTTCTTGTTGATCCTTTGTGATGTCAGCATTCTCATGTAAGCCAAGGACTTCCGGTGTGGCAATAAGGGGAAATTTTTTAATATGGTCGACGTAATCCTGCCATTCGCAATCTTCGGGGACGTAGTAGATGCCAGAGGGCGACAGCCTGTACTCGTGTTCCAGAATCTCAGGATGGTAGATGACGGCAAGGATGCTGAGAAGTGTCCTCCTGTCATGGCCGTCAGTCACCCTGCCGCCATAGTTGCACTCTCCCGTCACATAGTTCAGCGCCTGTGCATAAATTAGGGGTCAAAAGTAATCGTGAAAATTGGTCATTTCAGTTCAGAATTCCTCCCATGATTCATGTTTTTCTTGATTACCCGTGTTTTTGGCCTTCTACACCACTTTTCTTTGTTCATTGATTTTAGCTGCGAACTGCTGACCAGGATAAGTTATGGAGAATGAGTACATACCTTCCATGGTACGTTATCAGGCCATTCGACGAGGAAAGATTGCAACTGCCTCATGCTAATTTTCAAGTCAGGATCACTGAATTGGTAGGGAATGTTCCATCCAAGAGGACCGAACTTCACACGCTCCTGGACGGCAGCGTGGAAAAAGCAAAGCCCAAATAACATTTTCCTCCAAACTGGACCTTTGTCCCCTTGGATCTCGTTAAAATAAATTGGATCATTTACAGGATAACTTGAATAGCTCTGATCCAACAATCGAACCCCAGGTAAAGCTTATACTTACCTTTTAAACATAAAACCAAACACAAGCGTACCTACTACAATGACAAATACATCCTCTCTAAAAGAGGATATGTACAGGATGGAAGAAGCAACCCAGAAGTGCTTGAAGATTGCAAGAAGAGACCGGAGCTATCCATAATTGCTTATGCAAGATACCGAGTTTTATACGGCACACAAGTCTGGTCTACATGCAATGAAAGCGTTGAGGGGTTGAAGAGGGACATTTATCGGGATCCTTTGAGAGCACTTCTCCAGATGCCGTTACCTGAAACCATGTGCAACGTGTATGAAACATGTTCTGAACCTTACCTGAATCATATTTGCTCGTAGTCCTTTAGGCGACTCATTTGTCATCTTAACTCCACTCTGGAGAATAGCTACGGGAAATTGATTGGATGGGTAGCTTGTAAGCCATAACCGGAACCCGACGTTCGTTGTTTCAACTGTAAGATCCTCGCAAATCTTTTCCAACGACGGCATCCACGAAGGGGCCAGGTGACAATTTTGCAGCACCACCCAATCTCCATTTCTTATTCCTGATGAAATCAACTCCGCTGCTTTTGGCCCTTGTCCTTGGCCAAGTGAGATCGTGACAACCTGAATAAATCACAAACGTTCGAAGCTCTTAAGTTATCAGAGCCAGCATTCATCAAAATTTTAATTTTTGGGATCTTGGTAGTATTTACAGGAAGCAGCCTTAAAATGCGGTGAGTAAACAAGCTCGAAGATCAGTAGTCACAGACAATGAATTATCAAACCCAGGAATACCTCGTGTCTATCTTCTTCAGCATACTTGAGTAAAGCTGACATTGGATCAGATCCTGCAGAGAGCATAAATATGAGGGGGATGAGCGGTCCCGAATCACCGAATGCACCTGCTATATTGAACCCGGGAGGCTCAATGTAGCGTTGTCCCATAGCCTCAAGTAGGAAGCTACTGATAGCACCTATAAGTTTGTCCGGTCGGATTACGCGAATGACAAGAAGTCTCCGGAAACTACTCAGCTTTGTGGGCCAATTCTCAGGCATTGTTTCACTATAGGGATCCTGAGAGTTGTAGAAAACTTGCCAGCCTTGCAAATTTGTAGAAAACGAATCTGACAATCCCTGATATCACCATACAGGGGACAAGTTCAATGTATATATTAGAAGTTTGCATGATATACCAAGTCTCACAATTTCCCGCGCAATGCTCTCTAATTAACACATGAAATGATTGTTTGACGATCATTGATCATGTATGGAACAATAAAAAATAAACATATTGCGACCACGAAGGAATAAAGCACAAGCAGTGGAAACGCACCGAAAATGCAGGGAACTTCGAAAGCTTGACCATTTCATTCCACAGCTTATCAGACAGCCATTTGGAAGTGTTAGGTTCCGGAACTTTCGAGGTAGATGATGGACCAGCCAGAAAGAATCTCCACTCCTGTTCATCAAAATGACCTTCTCTTCTCATGTTTGTAGTGCATATGAGCAAAGACAGCAGCATCTTGTCTTTCTCGAAGAGGCTTCGCGCAACATTGCAGTACAGCATATATTGGAAGAAATCATTCAAGATAGCTATTCGTTTTTGAAGGTCTTTGGACTTCTCTGACTTGACCATTGCTGAATTGAACAATATTAAATACCTGAACAAATCAAATCTTGAATCAGTGGGTCATTTGTGCAGTCAAATACGCAATGGCACTTCATCACAACCCTTGGGATCAATCCTTTCATTTTGTCCTGTCTTCTAATTCAGAAACCAATGCTGTAGGTACGATGTGCCTATACACTTCACCTGTTTGTTGACACTGCCAATCATTATATGTAGCTTACCATGAAAGTGAGTACTGGTACATGGGGTCAATGTTGGCAAGAGAGGAGACAGTAAAGAAAAGAGCTGAGACATGTATGGCGACTGGGACGTAGCCCAATCGCGCCTGATCGATCTTGGCTTCTGTTACTACAGAAATCTTCTGTTTCTCTTCAATCTCTGTGGACAACACCTTCGACGAAGAAATGATATTAATCGCCGTTTCATCTTCTAGGATATTCCCCTCAGCGCTTGACAATACCTGTCACATAATCGCACATGATTGATATGAGTATTCTACTTGTTGGGACAACTTAACACCTTGTGCCATCCTGAAAGGCATCGCGACTGAACATCAAGTGTACTCTTTTTTTGGCCATCTTTCCAGTTCCTTATGAGGGTTGCTGTCAAGACTTCAAGACTAGTACATCAAGAATTTCCTCGCACGTGTATTTCAGGAGTTTGAGTTGAAGGAGGCAGAGAACCTCTATAATTCGGTCTTCAGTTTCTTTTAGTTGCTTAGCATTCTCGGCACCCTGCAATACCAACTGGGTTTTCTCCTCTTCTAATTCTGGTCTTTCATGCTTCACAGCCTCGGCCAACAACTGGTCTTGCAGACCCTCTGGTGTAATCATGAAATTCAGAAGTGTTACCTTGACTGCAACCTGTACAACTAAGAGCAGTTATCAGCAATTCCCAGGTTCTGAAAACAATTCAATCCATTGGTATCTTAATATCCAGAAGGTAAGAGTTGAACGAAATCTGTACTATTTGAAATGCAGATGTTTATAGCAAGGACTGTTTCAGGAGTATGCCTTAGAATGCAGTGGTTTCTCAAGCAAGTATATATTGTCAATTGCAGCTGTCACATTATTCTGAGTATGCGTTTTTTTGAGTCTATGACATCTCCATAATGACAATTGGAACTACTGGAAAACCCTCTAATGCAGAATTTTGGTATGTTTTCAGCTGAAATTTTGGTATGTTTAGATAAAAACATGCCTGAACGTGATAAAACATAAGATTTACCTCTGGAAAATAATGAGGATTGCGTAACTTTGTGGTCATGTAGAACTTGAACTTTTGATTGTACTCGATAACGCTATCCCCAAGCTGGATCTGCCACGACGAACCGGCTCGGAAGATTGTTTTCTTGAGTACGGGCTCCAAGGCTGGATCAAGCTCTTCAAGGATGTTCTCAAGGAGCAAAGGGTAGCCGAATTGGATACAAGCTTCGAGCTTTCGCATAAAGTCTCCGTCACCCAACTTCATCGTTTGCAAATTGTTACGCTTTTCCTTGTTCTGCCACAATCCAGGAGGAAAATTGAGCCTATTGTTGCCTTTTGGTTCGGGTAAACACATGATTCGCAGGAGAAATTACATGCATACTGAAAGTGTGCAAAATATTGTGGAAAACTCAATCGTCCAAAGCAAGTACTGTGCATGAAGTCTGTACTGATAGTCACTGCCTAATTTTCAAATTAAGATTAGAAAATAGTTCAAGAAATGCATTGCTCATGATCACCAAACGGTGTAACATTTCTTGACAAATACACGAACAAGAGTCACATGAAATGACTAGGAAGTAATTTATGTTTACTCTGATCCACTTATTAGCTTGTCCTTGAGGATCAATCAGCAGTGGCCACCGCCTTGCCGCGCTCATGATGATCGCATTGTCAATAGAGAAGCTATCGTTGGGAAGGCCAGCAATCACCCAGTCACGAATCGTGACGGGATCACCAAGGATTTTGGATAATGAGAACTCCTCAGAGCATGGAATTTCTCTTTCTCTCAAGGCGATGTCCCAATCTTTTAAGATTGGTTCACGGTACGCCATGCTCACAGCACCAAGATAGGCGATGTATCCAGACGAAAGAAGCACGTCTCCAAGCAAGTTAATGTACTGGACTGATAGATCTTTAATAACTTGTGTCCATCTAGTTTTTTCACCTCCTAACCCATTTATGAGCTGTGCCGCTCTGGTGAGTTTCTGCGACCATCCAACCATGCCAAAACACAATCACATTGACGAGTTTTATCGTCCGAAATAATCATATTTGTAGGTGTAACAGCTTAGTTTTATTGGAATCAATCGTAACAGTTCACTGTCAATTTCATGGGGCTAACGGCTGATTTGGTTAGTTACATTTTCGCAGTTGTTTACTTCAGCTTCAAGACCTGCTTTCTCTTTTCCTTTTTGACTGAGTTGATCTTGAAGTTGGGAAAGCTTTTCCTCAACTTGTTTCAGAATTGTCTTCTTCGCAGCCAGAGCTGCCTGCAGTTCCTCAAACTCAGCAGTTGCTGCAGCCAGCCTCGCCTTTTTTGGTGCGACGACCTGCATTGAAGTCCGATTGTGAATACCTCTTAGCGCCGCAGATATTCTCAAGAAGCACCATTGACCAGGTCTCAGGACTTGGGAAAAACATGTCTTGAGCTTTATTTGGGGCTTGGCCATGATAACCACCCATACAGGACTTGAAAAGTAATACATGCCTATCATTTGGTAACAGAACATGATGAAGGCCAAAGCAATAGTACTAACCTTATTCCTTTTTTTCAAAAGCTTAATACATCACCAATGCTAACACACACCGCGAACGAAAACAAGTGCGAAAATGAAATTGAAACGATTACCGAAGTCATTCTATAGAAGCAACCGACGACAATGCACGGAATGAGCTATTTGGCATAACTTACCTTATTAACTTTGTGGTAGCTTTCCATGGCACGAATCCAGCAGCATAGTCCATACGCTGCTTTCGATGCCTTTCTCACAATGACAGGGTCAAACATCGGATTACTAATATATGGTCGTATCAAACCCATCAGTTGATCTGGCATGTTGTCTTTATCGTATTCTTTAAGAGAAATCAGGAAGTTATTCTCAGCCAACATCTGCTGTGCTGGTCCCCAGTAATCTGTCATCTTCGCGCCTGGCTTGCTGGGGTCTGGTATCTTCCTTGATGCCACCTGCCAAGGCAAAAATGAAACACAGCCGAAGTTGAGTATCGTATTCCCGACGGATGCGATTATTTAGCTATATTAGATACAGGAATTCTCAGATAAGCTATTGATTAAGACCAAGCCTGTTGTAGCCTGTTCCTTGTCTGAGGTATCACAATTTACTCTCTATCTCTGAATCATGTGCCCCATTTGGTCAGTCGGTCAGTCCCATTACTAAAGTCAATCTTTGCACAAGTAAATGTGCAGAAATTCTCAGCTGTACAAGCTGGTGAATGTTTACCCCTTTCATGATGCAACACGCCTCCATTACAAGCTTGACAGCAGCAGGAGGGTTTTTCATGGACTTCACTTCGGTGATGTCGTTTTTAGTGAGGGTATCCAGAGCAGCAAGAGCAGCATTCAACATGGGCATTGCCTGAGCAGAAACGCAACCATACGCGGTTACTTATATACCATCAATAGTATACACTGAACTCATTTTCCTCCGATTACCAATGGTCTAGATAAAATGAGGATACCCCTACGACTACATCTTCAAAGCCCTCGGAGAAAGATAACGGTAACTCTTTTACTTTCTCAACTGTCTTACACTGTAGGCGTTATCAAAGCATTGGATTAAAACGCTCAATTCATTGGAACCTGAAGTTAACATTCTAAGCTCTGCTCGAGTGAATAAGCCACCTCAACTCCGTCTGAAGCTAGTTCAATCGTCACAAATTCTGTTTCTAAGAATGAGGCAGGATAAATGCACTAAGTTCAAAATGGCTACAAAATATGAACTTCAAATATACTGCTCATCTTCTACTAGTACTTACAACAGCGAGCTCCTTCTCACAATCATCCTTAATAGCTTGTGCCTCTCCTGCTTTGACACTCGCAATTGCTTCCTCTGCCTCAACGACTTCACGGGTGGCTTGTGCATCCTTGGTATCGGCGTCTATTTGTACTAGGAGGACGTTTGTTTCATGAGCTGTCTGCAACAAAATAGGCTGAAGATCTTCCAACTCTTGCTTCATGACAGTGACTTGAGCCTCCGCGAAATAGACCTTCTCCAATCCCATCTGCGGGTTCAGACATGTGTTTGGAAGTTCCTTGAGGCAAGGCAAAGATTTGCACCTGTGTCTAGTTGATCCCTACAAAACATTTCTTGTTGGCCGAACAAGACCACTATGCTGATGAGCCAGGAGTGTTACAGCTCGCAAAACCCAAAACGGAGATTTACTCACTGGCTTATTACTTCTGGCAATCTCGTTTTCCACGCTCACAAATAGGATAATTTCGTTGTATTAACGCGCTTAATTAAGATGTAACAGGAATCCGAATTCCTACAAGTTGATTGTCCTATGAGATAAAACAATTGATAGTTTACCGAATATCTGTTTCTGACCCGGTCAACCTCTTTGCGCTTCAGTTCAAGAAGTTCTTTGTAGGTAGCCAGGAGCTCCAAATACGAAGTAGGCGTGACGTAAATGTATCGCCCTTGTTCCTGGAGAAAGGCCACCGACAAAGCAGTTCCTCTTGTATGAAACATCATGCACATGTCTCGCACAGGCACATAGAATTTTTCTTCAATGCCGAGCTGTTAATCATACGAAACAAAATGTTAATCCTCATTTCACCCACAATGGAACTCAGAAGTTCATCGGATCACCATGTCATCTGTGCCATCATGTTTATGATGCATCAACCCAAGATAACAATGAATGCACAAATTTTAAGGATCAAATCTGGTTCAGGCTCAATCTAGATCAACTATCAGAAAAAAACAGATACAATTAATGAATTGTCAATTTAAAGTTTTGTATAAATCGATTGATGACCCAGATTGAACAAATGAGCGTGCTGTTCTTACAGAGCTGACAAAATTAGTAGCTACGGAGCGCAGAGCTTCCTCGGGCCATTCACTATACCAATCAATGGTGCAGCAATTCACAAGTGAGGGGAACATTCGTAACCGAGTGCGGAAAGCATCTCCAAATGGACTCATGGCGATAACCATATGAAGGTTGGTCCGACACTGATCCACAAAGTACATGTACAACTCTGCCAAGGAGCCATCCCGACCAGCCTTTTTAGCACGGTTTCGAACTGCATCCAGGAGCGGCATGATTTCATCTTTGGGGTATAGATTTGGCACCTGTTCATAGTTCATTAGAGCCATAAAAGTAGAGGAATTTCAGAAAAACTGGTTACCATTTGCAGACTTAGATTGGGCTGGATTGGAAGTACCTCGCCTGCATTCAGGATGTTATTGATATCTTCGAGAAATTGCTCCAGCTTCAATTGGGTGTCGTTGAACAAGAACACAGTTGGCGTGTTATCTGCCCCTGCTTTCTTCAAAACTAGCTGGAAGAGGAGACACCAGACCTTGAGCGATTTTCGGACCAATTTATCATGAGAAAACAGCACATCAACAAGAAAACTTCATATTGTCCATACGTGATAATATTTTGTGAAAGAAGATAGTGCTATGTGAAAGTGCAGATACGCAAATTGACCAACTAATTGGTAGAATATATTTAATGGTACGATACAACATTTAACTAATGTGAGATAGTTGCTAAATATTAGCAAGTTGCGGCATTCAAAACTCTTGGTGTTGAGCTACTTCTAATGTTTCTTACTGAACACTAAATTGTAGGTTTACCTTAAGGTCTTCACACCATTCCATAATGCCGTACAGTTTTGTAATTTCAACTTGAAAGAGGTTAAATCCAGCCATGGATGTGGCTAATCTGGTGAGAGATTGTCGGCCTCCACCTCCTACTCCGACCAAGAGTGCATTACCAAAAGGTTGTCTGATGATGCGACTTATTCGTAAGATATGTTGTGCAGCATACGTGAAAAGAACCAGATGCATTGGACTTCTGGTTTGAGCGTTAAATTCATTAAGGCCTTCGTGCAACATGAATAACAGTTTGGTGTGATCAGCGATCTCTTCATATCTGCAAGTCATGCGTAATCGATACGGTAGTACGAGATATCAGTTTTACATCTTTCGATTTATCTGTAGAGAGAAGGTGTTGAAAGGTTTAACTGAGTCGTGTTGTACGAGAACTCTTAGTATTTCACGTAGCATTTGCATCCTAGTTCTCACACATTTCAACCACGTAAGGAGATACGTAAGGAAAATTAGTATGGTCACAATGAGGTTTACTTTCTTGGGATTGCAGAAGGATCCATAATGTCGCCGAATGCTAGCTGCTTGTACACTTGTGTCATTGTGTCATCATCAGCCATTGAATCATAAACATATTCAGTGGACAGTTCCAACTTCTTCTCCACTCTACTTTGCAAGTACTTAAAAAACCAGAGTCTATCCTCCTCGGTCACGAGCCTGTCGTGAAACACCCGCAAGCATTCATGGCTCCACAGTTTCACTAGCGTTTTCTTACCCTCCATTACACCTGCAAACATGCACATGCCCTGGAAAACTTTGGACAAGTCTCGCAGGTTGAACAAGTAATGCGATTTCAATGGTGTAGGCAAAAGCTCTCTTTGAATAGTGCGGTATATGTCAATGCTAGCCTCCACGAGGATGGCATTCATACTCGCCACCTGATTATATATTCGACTTCATCAGTTCTCCAACTTACATAACATAACGTTTTGAATAATTTGTAAGCACCCTTAATTCACACATGATGTGGAAGTCATCAAAGTCATCACACTTTAACTACACTTGACTTTCATTTTAAATGTACAGAAGTTCGTTACGAAAGTTACCCTTGCTCTTGAGAGCTGGATTTTTTCATGACTCAAATACAGTAACTAATGGATTCACACAGCAAGTAGTCAAAAAATTCAGAAAGAGTTTGGAACTTACATCATGAGGAAGTCTGGACTTTCTAACCCACCACTCATAAATGATTGTGAATACTACAGACAGAGTAGAATCCTCGAAGTCCAAAATAGCGAGCACATTAAAGTGACGCATGTAACGTGGCGTCACTGGATTTCTACCACCTCCCGGCGGACCCATCGCGGTGACAAATTGGATGTTAACTAGATACCGAAATGAGTTGTCTTCCCTATCATACCTGCAGTCGCAAATGTCCGTGAGCATGAGAGATTTGACCAGGTTCACACGGTCAACCATAATTCGCTCCGACTGAATGGGTTGAGAATGCTTACTTCTCAGCAATGTCAACTGCCTTCCCTTATACAGGGGAAGTGGATATGTATGAAATTCAAACGAATTTTTCCGCTGCTCCAATATGCTTTCGGTCATGAACCGACAAATGCATGTATTCCAACAAATACTGCAAATGTAGGCGACGTCTACAACTACAACCGGAGAACTTTTGAAAAGAAGATGAAAAAGCCTCATTTAGCATGAAGTGATTGTGATCAATACCATCCACCGTGATCCATCCACTGGCGTAGAATCTCAATTGGAGGTTGTGCACCATATGTTTCTAGAGCTGGCATGTTCAGATCGTCAACGAAAACGACACAGCGTGCCTCCGGATATGGCCCGTAAATACCCTTCTTTAACTTGTCTAACTTGCTCTCTATGATAGCCTGATTCAAAACTGCTGTGTCGGTTGCACATTAACACGTTTATAATACTAGTCTTTTATGTTGAGAGTCCATTATACAAAAATATCAGGGAAGTGCAATCGAATAGCTCCACTTAGGAGAAAAATATCTCTTGTGATCTAGTAGCCCATAATAAATGAGAACTTGATGGAGGAAATCGACAAGAAGTGCGTTCCGTAGGTGACATTATGTGAGACAAATCAAGAGGTTACAGCAGTCTTTCTAGCGATTTACTGCCCAATACAACGAAGTTTTCATGTCGAAATATATTAGTACATATATTCAGAAAGAAGTAAGGTGAGAACCTGAGTCTGATTTGCGTTCGTTTGAGCTGAGAAAGTCAGCATGATATTCCGGTAAAAGGCTTTATCTAATGAGCTACTTAGATTGTTCTTGATGTACACCGTTTTTCCTGCTCTCAAAAAAAAAGAGGTTTTCCAACATTACTAGAATTGGCACATTCAGAAATGCTGTAGTTAGTACTTACTCCAGTGTGTTCTGTGCATACAATATGGTCATCAGCCACAATTAGTAGAGAAATAAGTCTTTAGACTTCAACCGAAGGAAAATTCTTGTGGCGTTTCCTTTTGCAGTAGAAGAAATGCTGATCAAAATTAAATTTATATTAAAAAAAAGAAAAAAACAATTCCATGGGGGAATTAAACAAGCACACATGGGACTTCACACAATCGGGTTCAAATGAAACTGAAGAACAATTTGAACTTTCCAGTGTATCGTGGGATAAGTGTAAGCAATTCAAGTTGGAACATACCTGTGCCAGTGGGGCCACAGAAAAGCACATGCTTTTGGTGAACAACAAGAAGTATAAGCAAAAATGAGTAGCGCGCCGTGTCTAGTGTAGGAACAATGATGTCGTTGTAGCCTGCATCTATAGCTGGAGGCCGGTTGTCCACTATCAGCAACCAGTCTTTCCAAGTTTGCTCTGGTTTCCAGAAACAATATGAATAGATTGATCCGATTTTAGGATAAGGAAGAGCCCACTTGAACGAAGGCTTTTTAATTACTTGTCCAGCAGTTAGCTCAAAACCAAGCTCCTTCTCCGTCGTCAATCCTTCTTGCAACCTGCAATCTCGTACCAAAAATGAAGAGTCATTCAAGGTCCACCGTAAATCATGAAGTAACCCATACGACAAACCATATGATGCGTATTCAAATATTCAGCAAGAGTTATCGTCACCAAATTAAGAGTACAGGCGTGGCATCCATGCAGGTGAAGTGACTTGAAATTATCTCTAAATTATCACCTAACAATCTTTGACATTATATTTAGGCAATAATAAACTCGAATACAATATCGCAAGGTTACAGCAAACTAAACTTACCTGCGAACGAAAACATTGAATTTCTTTCGGCCATCAGTATCAACTGTTCCTCCTACACCCCAAACGAGAGCTTGAGAAAACAAGGCCTGAACCCACATGTTGATATCGTCACCTGTGGGCGGAGTAACTAAAGAGGTTTCCGCAGTTGTGGAGGCTTGTGTGCCCGGAACAATCTTGAACTCATCTAGGAGACTTTCATACATTTTAAGCAAGCTTTGTGCCTGGTTAATGGGCGCTGTAGGACATATTTCTTTGCAATGTCGTTTAGTAAAGTCGACGCAGGGATCGACAAACCATTCCAGTAATTCGTATACCATGTCAAAATGGGCAATAAGCCCTGGAAAAAAAAATTTCATGTGTTTCATCCACGATGTAATCAGAGGCCAGCATCCAATCGAGCTTGGCTCGACATAAACCATACCACATCGACTCACCGTTGCTGGGGAAGCAACTGCCAGATCTTGCACCTACACACCAAACTGGAGGAATCTTTAGACTCAAATTCAGAAGCTCTATTTCTCCCAGTGTATAGAGAAACTTTGAAAAATACAAATACTCTTACATGTTCTTATATTTCACCAACGGTGACGTCAACTGTAAGTGCTTTCACATGGAAATATTCGTACCTCAAATATTAAGTTCATCTGCATTGTCATCTGTATAATTTCGCCACTCATTAGACATAGTTTTTTGTTGTCATCAAGTACAGTGTTCATGTTCTCAATCCACACCTGTGTAATATCACATGTTAGACACGTTCAATAATACCACCACATCATGCAATATTAATCGTAATCATTTTTGTTCCTTGAAACATCTACAGCAGATTGATTATGGAAAATGAAGGCGATAAATTACGCACAGCATCCACAGGTCCATCAAAAATGATCCACTTGCGATCAGGAGAAGTATCGACTGCGGCATGTCGGAACCACCTGGCCAGAACGCCATCCGTCCATTCGTGCGAGACAGAATCAAATTGACCATACAATTGTCCAATGTATATGGACTTCGGATTCATAACATAAAACAATGTTTTCTCCTCAAGACCTTGCTTATGCATATCCGTGAGAGACATTCCCAGAATTCGATATGCTTCTGTTTTCGCTCCGTAAGAGTAGCCCACCAACATGAGACCATGGCGTACTAGAATCATTTCATACAGTTGATATATCTGCCATTTCAAACGCAAATTCAACATTGGGTAACACAACTTTGAATTGAGCATCACTGTAAATATATCACAAAGTACAAGAAACATCCGAGAAGATATGCGTGCAAGAGTTCGTAGAACCTTTTGAAGGAAGAACGCCGTAGGCTGTATATTTCGGATCAAGGAGTTGTTCCTAATGGCCGTGGTCATGTCGGAGTAATCAGGTTCAGGTAACACTACACCAGGAAACAAATCAGATAAGATGCCCTCAAAAAGTGGCACATCGTGAGCGAGAAACTTAGGTGCATTGACATCCTTTAGTGATTTCAGCATCAGCACACCCTCGTCTTCCTCTGGAAACTTCTGCTTTACGGCACCAGCGGCACGAAGCACGGATATTACAGCTCGCATACCATAGTCGTAATGGTTCTGACTTGACAGTTGTTCACTGTTGTATATTACAAATCAAATCTCAGGGTGTTAGCTGCATGCAGTATTAAAAGGACCGAGGGTAAAATGAATCAACAATAATGATGGTAGCTGATATGGAATGTTAATATCCCTGATTACAGAAGCAGACGAGAAAATATTGAGACTGATCTAAAAAATTATCCTCCATAATCAGCTAAGAAGTGAAGAATACAACGATCAATTTTAAAAAGCTGATAAAATTACTCAAAGTTTGGATCTCAAAGAACATACAATTCGTCGTTAAACAATATAGAATTTTTTTTTAATCATACGAATCGAAAAGTATAACAGGAAATAAGACCTGCAAAGTCGATAGGTAGCTACAAGTTTTCGGGCCAACGACCGAGCATCCAGATAACCAAAAGAATACAATGTGATTTCTGAAATTAAAGCATAGTCAGGAACCATCATCGCTACAGAGCGGAACAATGCCTTCAAATTATCTGGTAGCTCGGATCGTCCAGCATAACCTGGATTCATAGTGATGAATACGTTGCATGACCTTTTCAGTGTGAGGACAACACCTTCAAACGTAAATCTTACAGCATTTGACGCTTTTGCACGTTGAATTGTTAAAATCTGCTGAGCTATCACACTGAGCACCTGATTGAAGGTACAGATCAATATTATGGGTGTGTCTAGGAGTCATGGTTACTATGACACTGCTACTATCTTGAGCTAGCTTGTGATATTACACATCAGTATGTTGCTTTTAGTTACCAGATCCTAATGGCCTTGTCAAATGGAAAAACACGAGATGTTTCAGGCTGTCCAAAAATGTACCTCGAGATCAATACGGTTGAACTCGTCAAAGCAAGCCCATGCTCCCGAGCTGGCCAGTCCCTTGAAGAACTTACCCATTGCTAAGTAATCCAAACCATCTGAGCAGTTGAAAACTACACATTGCATGGCGATGGCCTTCGCTAAATCCTTCGTGGTCTCTGTCTTGCCAGTACCTATGAGTTGCAAAGAAAGACCGTTCAATTCCTGGTTAAACCTTTTGTAGTTTTTAACAGGAACGAAAAAATATCATACCACGGGTGTCGTAGAGCAACGCCATGAAACAACTCAAAAAGACAGCATTCACGCATGCCCAGTCAATGACATGAAACTTTCAAACATTGGTGGTCACACAGACAGATTGCAGGTTCAATTCCTAGACTTCAGTACAGTTCAATTCTCAACTAGTTTGAGCTGATTTGGAAACAACAAACAGAGCATGCACTACTTAATTACCCAACAGTTGGCATTCACTTTAGACTTCAAAATACTTTTAGACCAGAGAGCAAACGAAGACTGATTTTTGCTTCTGGAAGCTTAGTTTTTGTTTAAATATATTATCATTATTTTTTATTATTAACTCATTAAATAATAATAATAATAATCCCAAATTAAGTTTCAAGAAGAAAAAATCACTTGATTGTGCTTAACTACCTGCAGGTCCTTCAGGAGCACCACCCAAGGTGAGATGAAGAGCTCCCATGAGAGTACGGTAACATCTATCAGTCAAGGGTGTTATCACCAAACGTCCACTATTTCCCAGATACTCGAAAGCATATAAAAGCCAAGCATTGATCATTAACACTTTTATGTCATCATCTCCCACATACTCATATCTGCCACACATGATAACTTTGAGAGGAAAATCCATCTCGAAGAACATAGCAGGTTAACAACAAACATCGAATCAGTGTATCAAATTCTCTTTACTTCAAAGAAATCGAATGAAGTAGAGCCTTAAGTACTGGGATAAATCTCACACCAACTTACCAATCTTATACCGTGTGCTGCCGACATATATGGACATATCCGACTGCAAGAGAAATGGTTTCAATGGAACAAAATAATGCGATAGACTTACCTCAGCTGGCTTATCCAATCGAAATCCAATTCATCGTTTACGCCTTGCTCAGCCAATGCTTTGCACACATCTCTAGCATGTACATCAATCACAATGAGAGCTCCAATTGTCTTTCTTTCAAGCTTCGACAGTTGTCCTCGAACCTAACAAACAATCAAGCCAGAATAGAATGTCAAGATCCAGCACCTTTGGCTTCTATAATCACAGATTCCAAGAGAATTGCTTGCACGACCATAGAAGCAGAGTAAAACTTACTAGCAACGTGTATCTATAGCTTAAATCATATCATCACAAAATCAACGCCATGATTTCTGATTGTTCTTGATTGAAAACATTAAGTTCAGAGCGATGGTTACAGCTGAGGAAAGAGGGTAGTAATATTGCTGGATGCAAAGGGAGTGCTTCACTCATTAATTCATTCAACATTGTTGCCGAAACAGCGCAGAAGGCATTCTATTACTGCTATAAAGTACCAAATTTTTTCTGGATATTGCTCACCTTATTCACGATATCCTGGAGCTGGGACGTACATTTACGTTCATATGCCTGCAAGGCATCTGCATGAATAGCAGCACCCATTTCTAAGGTCCAGTACATAGAAGATATGCACAGGACAACTTGACCTGGCCAATGGACTATCCAGGGCACTCGTTCAGAAGTAGCATATGCTTCAAATGCTCTTCTTGTCACATCCTTAAGACTGTTTCTCATCTGCACTTCTACCTGCGCAATCACATAACTTGTGTGGATCAAACAGTTACAACAGACTTCCCACACACTCAACAATTAATTTGCGATTAAATACTTGACGATGGCTTGTATGATTTCTAAAGACAAAATAAATTTTCTCGTCTTAACAGCAAACTCACCTGAGTAAGCCACTTCTCGACAGATCCCATCGCATCTTTGGGATTAAAAGGAGAAGTAAAGTAAATTTTTTCACCTTCTTCACTGATCATTGCCTTGACAACCATGTTTTGTTCGAACTCAATACTATGAATTCCCTCAAAAATCTTTTTTAAAAACGGTTGTACTCGTAATGGGTCCTTGGTTTCAGCGAGAATCTCCAGAAGTTCATCATTCGACAAGAAGTAGAAACTGTGAAGGGCCATTCCCACATCAGAATTAGCACAGATATCAAACATGCTCCTCCACCATTGAACTCCGATCTAAGGAATCTATAACTAAAACATACATAATGTAGCAAGTTACATAAAGATATATAGAAATGAACTTAAACGCCGTAAAAATAAAAGGATTGTCATCAATATGGAAGTGGTTCAACTTAAGAGATATGTGGCCCGCTTAATCAGAGAGTGTCATTACAAACACCCACCGTGGGAAGGCAAGCCGCTTCGTCTCAAGATACTCATTCAATCCGCTAGTTACAAAATCAAGATCTTTGTTGGACTCCTGCAACTGTTTCATTATGTCCTCGTCACCGCCGATAGTCAAAGCATCAGGGTTTTTGGCTAATTTGGCCATGATCTTCCTCCATACACCATCTACAAGCTTAAACCGTCGACCTTCTGTTGGCATTTGGGACATGATGTCTTCTGAAGTGAAAATGGGTTCAAGATACATCCACTGAACCTGGCAGCTTAACCATTCTTTCAAGAGCTGCACGTAAATTGGTGAATTAATTCGGTTTTTGAGGTGGAAGTGCGAGTTCCGAAAATTAAAATATTGCTACGAGTTTGGGGTTGTAAGTTTCTTGTACCACGCCAGAATCACAATAAACCAGCTAGACAGTTTCAGGACCAACTCTGCTTGGCTAAACTTGTTTCAAAGGATCTACTCGTTTGCGTGTTGAAATGAATTTATGAAGTAAATTGATGAACTCTACAGACATCCAGACAATTTCATTTCATACCTTGTTAAAAAACTGAAGCTTCTCAAACCATATACGCACGCGATCCTCGAAAGGCCCAATGTATGGTGACGCTGTCATGGATTGAGTCTTGATCAACTGGTCATCCAACACTTGTTGGAGATCATCAGTCCCACGTAGAATGCATGTTTTTGTTGCCTTCCATTCAGTATATTCAAATTTGACAGTCGCCCAGTCACCCTGCATCTTGTCAAGGGACTTTTCTAATGCATGCTCTTTGCTGGCAAACTCACTCACCTGAATACATAGCAGATGAAGATCGATGAATAACTAGTTGTGGTTATACCGAACTGTCTTTGCAAGGCAAGCGTAATATTCTGAATTCTGATGAGAGTTTTCAGAGAATTGAGGTTCATACCTCTTCGCATTGAGCCAAATATTTTGGTAGGTTCAAATTGATAGCTGTTCGCAAAGAGAAATCAGGAGTGCAAACAACCTCAAACCCAACTAGATTAGTCAATCTCTTCCAGTGCCGATCACGCATACCTGGATTTCTCAGAGCGTAAATCATGGGTACATTTACCTGTCATACATGGCCATTTTAAATGAGACAAAGTAATCAACAACACAACAGGTATCGTATACTAATAAAAATCAATCAAATGTACTTTTTTTGATTTGTAAAATGCATAACAACGAAAAAAAAAAAAAAGAAGAAGAAGAAGAAAAAAAAAAAACCAAAACCAAAACCAAAAACATACGTTAAAATCCATTATTCTCTTTCTTAATTCCTCTGCAGCGATTTTCACATCCTTCGTCAGTAATTTTGCACACTTTGCTGAAGCACGAACCCATTTATCCATATTGTTCAACATTTCTTCACCATCAATCAGAGTAAAAGGACCATCCATCCAATTGGGTAGCACTCTAAGAAAGTCATTGGCTGTGTGCCAAAAACTGATATGATTCTCAAAATCTTTTTCCATCTTCTCAATGGCGGGATGCTCGACTGAGATTTGTCCAAAAATCTACATAGGCCCGTTAAGATATCCATAAACATACCACAATAGACTCATACAGAAAATTTTCATTTGAATGTTATGAGATTTTACGGCTTTCAAAATATAAAATGTGAATATATTGTTTGTATTTTATTAGTTATTACAGAACGAAATACATAGAAAATCTTCATCCACCATCATCCTAAACACCTTCGCCTCACAAATTCGAGGATCTACACGGTAGTAGTTGCAAGAGCGAGGCACTCACCTCCTCTCGCCTCCCATACAGATCAGCCTTGTTATGGCAGTCTTTGAGCTTCGCCTCAAGCTCGGTACAGACTATATATCTTTCCTCCCAACTCTCCAAATCTCCCAGATCCATAAACTCTCTCACAAGAGTTTCAAGGTCGACAACCTCTTTCTTCAGCATCATTTGATTCATCACGAGCTCACCCATGTATTTCGTCTGTAATTTTCAGACTACACTGGTTAGCAAGAAATGACTAGTTCCGACCTTTGGAATTTTCTTCAAATGGCATCCACGTTTTGATCAGTTGTATTCCACTTTCTACTACACGTTACCAGTTACGAAAGTCATTAAGCGCCACTGGTGACCAAATCGAGAGTTTTCATCTTCATTTCGTTGAAAACCACGGACGTAGTGCAGTACCTTGCCAGCAACAAGAATCTTTTCAGCTTCATCGACGTCTTTTTGAAGTTGCTGGGGCCAGGCGATTGTAGCCCAGTACAACTCAAAGTCGATATTTGGCATCAAGAAAGCCTTCCTCTCGAATAAGTCTCTCACCTTGCCTCATCCAGAGCCCCAACAAAAATCAATTTTTAACGGCAAGTCCGTGGCAAAAACAAACTGCTACTTGACATGCAGTAATTAGTTGCTGAAGAAAATTAAAAGTGAATACAATTATTATTATCACTAATAGTAATTTAAAAATTTAAGATTTCAATGAGTGTTTCGCAACCGTGAAGTTTGAAGAGCACCTGCTGAGGTATATTGATGGAATCTTTCATTATGTTGTACTGCTTGTTTTTGTCTAAATATTCTCTCAGAAAAAACCATTCTTCGGCACTTTCCAGTGACCTATGCAGCATAAAAAACGAGGTAATTTACTCTTACGAGGACGCACGCGCAAGGTAAACTTCATTATCAAAGCACATCTGTCATTGAAAGGACTCTTAACCTCATCAGTATTGAATATGATGTAATCGCAAATGCGATTAACACAATATTAAACTTTCATGCTATATTTTTTCCAATCACCATTGTTTTTCTCAAATGAACTTCTATCCCTACTCTTAACCTAAGTGTCTTCGATATAGACTTGTTTTATCACTTCATCCGTAGGCACATGGTGACAACAAAAGAAAGCTGATAGATTACTTTAGAAGAGTGTCCTGAATTGTTTGAAACTTTTTACAAATATCAGTGTTCCTTTGCCAAGCGGCCTCCAACACTTGTTTTAGAAGCTCTTTTGCTAAATTCGAGGCCTTGACATTCACAAACTCTTGAATTGTTTTGCAATCGACAACAAACATGTTCAACCATACCTCGTCCTCCGACGCAGCCATGACATCGGCAGCAAGCTGCAATAAACATGTACCATAATCAACTTGTAGAGGCCAACATGGGGCCGCTTGTAACAGACAATTGCAAAGTCACCAATGTGGTTGACTCAACATTGAAACATAGTGGTGATTTGTTGCATTATCAAACCTTGTTAAGACGCTCGACCTCTTTTTCATAGTCATCGATATTGCAATTTAAAGCTTTATATTTTGCTAAATACTCTTCCATGTTGGTCGTTGCCACCTCTACAAAGTCATCGTAATCTGCTCTCAACGTTGCCGCCTGGGCAATGTTCTGGTCCAAGCTGTTCTGTGCTCATGACAGGTCTAATGTAAAAGATCATAAAAGCAAAAAGACTGTCATGGACGGTAGGAAAGTACAAGATAGCATGATATAGGGTAGCAAGTATGACTTCCATGAAATAACATACTAAAGTACAAATAAGTTCTTCCCTTAGATACCTACAAATGTAGATGTTGCTGACCATATGATCAACGATAAAATTGCATTAACACAAGCCTAAAGGTGAAATAAAGGCGGGTATCCAAATTCTGAACCTGTATTTTGGTCCGGGCAGCTACTACTCGGAGATGGTCTTTAGTAACTGTGTGGATCTCTTGGGTTTTGTTCACTTCGACTATTTTAGAATCAAGGCGAGAAACCAAATTTTCTATACCCGCAACGCTCAAAGTAATATCATCAAGCATCACCAGAATGACCTCTTTAATCTCTTCCAACTCGGGCACGAAAACAAATTTACAATCCTTATCCACAGAAAGTTTGACGAGAAAATAAGGTTTTGGCTTGGGTTCTTCAACTTCCGCCTCTAGGGGCGTGTCGTTATCAGGCATTACAAAGTCATCGGCATCCTCGTCTTCAATGACCTCACCCATAGTATAAGCGTCCCAAAGCTTTGCCCAGGCGTCCACAGAGTTGAGAACAACATCACGAAGATGTTGCGTCATTGTGAAGTGGAGTCTGTATGCAAAGCGACGAACGTGTGATTTCTGCTGATCGGTTATGTCACTGGGTGGGATAATTTCTTCTACCAGTCCCACAACGTTCCCCATCCACCTGCATTCATGGCAAAGTAGATTTTGTGAACCAAAAAGAAATATTGAACAGCCGGGATCTATGAGTCTTTGAGAATAAAGTGGTTTTACCGCATTATAAAGACTAAGACACACATCACCAATCAATCTGTGTCGAAAGCGGTAATGCACGCTTAGTTTTTTTATCATACCCAAGAAGGTGGGCTATGTGAAGAATTAAACCACAGGAAGTTTAAAAAAGAAGACACCCACATGTAACATTATGTAAGGAGAAAAATCATACTTTGCAGAGTGCAATAAAGTTCTTACGTAGCTTTTATGTCGTCTGATCTGTCGGAACACCATCCATCTTGTAGAGGAGGAAAGTAGGACCAGGACATGGGCCTCGGCTTTGTAAAGAGAATAGGGTTAACCAATGTTTGTTCGCTAATGTCATACTCCCTGTGGAAAAGCTGTAGTGCAAATAACATAGCAAGCTCGGCAATAATCAGAGTATCATGTATCAATCTTCTAATTGCCAAAAACTTCTGCTCCGGATCACACTGTGTAGGAGCACAACCTTGCCTGCGACCATGTACACAAGAAAACCAATTGTTAGAGTCGAAGGTTGATAATACATGCATTTGTTGATATACAGTGCATGTCACTGTTTTTATTTCAGACCACTAACGTTTAGTGCAAAGCCACTGAAATGGATGAGGGATCTATTGTAGATCGCACATTCGATTGGGCAGACTTATCTCTTTTTACCTTGGACAGGGTGCTTTGAGTCCTTGCAAAGGAAAAATCTGCATAGCAGCTAGCTTTTCGCCCTCGTGAAGGTTAATTTTTAAGCGATAATCCTGGATGCCTTGGTTTACTGCGTCATGGTAATCTTCTCGACACTCGTCCAAAACAGCCTCCAACCTCTCCGGATAACGGGCACTGAGTTCCCAACCAACCAATGTCCTGGCCTTGGTTTTGAATTTCTCATTGATAAGTTCTGGGTTATCAAATGGTAGCCCTTTGACGTAGTGCATGTAACGCTGTAGAGCAGTTCAAGTTTGGCTTAATTATTGAGAAAACTAGCAGAATGAACGCCTTTCATTTAAACTAATCAAATTGAATCGCAGCATCAACAACGGAAAATTTACACGAAAGGCCAAGGTTGGTACTTAAAGTAACACCACATAGCGTACTCCGGATGAAACCATAGATCAAACTTCGTACACACTAAATGTGATATTTTACTCTCCTGTGTTCAGATTTACTTTTGAGGGGTGCACAAAAGTGATGTTTCCACTAAAATGAAGACATGAAATTCCACAGCAGAAACGGAGTACCTCTGTATTGCAAGTCCACAATGCTAACTCGCAAAAGAAAAAATAAATAAAAAAAAAAAACCAACGTTGCTTTCTGTTCAAATTCGTAGAGTACGAAAAAAACTATCACGATCCTTCACACTTTTGCATAAATGGTGGAATGAAGGCAATGAAGAAGAGATGGGCTAAATGGAATGTGCTCACATTAGATGCTTCAGTATTCTTTTTCAAATCTTTCGCTCCACATAGTCGTAGCAGGAAACTACTCTCATTTTCCCTGTCTAGGATGAAGTTGATTCTGCAAAGCTCAACAACATCAATTAGAAAGACTTTTTACTGGACCATTGTCATGAAAACAACACGATAACAATTGGGCAGTCTTCACGTAAGGTACTCACATGTACTCACACCCTCATTGCATTGGCTTGAAATATACAATACCAACATAGATTGCTACTATGTCACGAGGATAGATACTCTCTGATTATAAATGGTCACCGTTTGACATGCTTCCGGGCGCCATTGTTACACCACTCCAGGTCGAAAGTATCCGTTTTGCTGTCGTAGTCCACGATCAAACAGGGGGCCCACACAAACCTCTTGATGGATGTGAGGAAATACCTTGAGCGTGCCTTAACTCCTTTCTCGCCTCTTTTTCGTGCCTTGGCATGGACATTCAAGTCAATCACTAAGGCACATCACGTCACAGATTACATACTTAAGAAACAACAAAGTAATAACATCTTATTTAATTTCTATAGCATGTTGGGCGTTTACAACGCTGTATCGCACAAATTCCACTCAAGATGTACTACAGAGAACTCCAACACTTTTCTCTTTTATGAAAACCTTCAGTTTGTAGAACCGTAAAAGTTAGCAACACTATCGACGAGTTAAAGAAGAAATTAAGTGACAGAAATTCAAACAGGTTAATACTGCAAGTATTGGTGGTACAGAAAGATGTTTGACTAGATCATGCCAAGTCAATGTGGGGCTCAATTTGCAATTCTGATGAATATAGAGAGAATTGTGTACATACTATGCGAAGCACAGCCATAGCCAGGATCCTACTTGGACCAGGTTTCAAACGATAATGGGTGCCTTCCAAACTCCTTTGCAAACCGACACGACTAGTTGAGAGATGAAATCGCTCACCTCCTTGAGATCACGAGCGGGATACTTCAGATCGATCTGTGGATTGTCAAACATGTAGAGAGGAATGTTAATGGCAACTTTACAGTCGCTCAGAGTAAACGCCTGCCGCTCAAAGTACTCTTCGGGCTCAGTCACCGTCTCAGGCAATGCATAAACCGTCCAATTCTCGACAAACTCCATGTGCTGCAGGTCTTTGTAATCCAGACGCTTCTTGACGTCGTGCTTGAAGATTAAATGGAGGGGTGGACGCGGTGGATAACTGCCAAACCTCAGCTCTGGTTGAAATCCAAAATCGGCTTGACCCTCCAGCTTATCCTTTTCTCGACGCACCACGGCACCCCTCTCGAAAATTTTAGCAGAAAGGAGAATTGAGTCTCTTGACCTTTTGGAGCCGTCATCTTGAACAGAAATCGCATCATAAGAAAAGGAAGACACCTCCCCGCTTGAAGTTTCGAGCTTGGTAGATCCAGAGTTGCGTATGTAGTCAGAATTCTCGCTTTTTTCTTTGCCAAGAGTGTCAGGTTCATCACGTGCTGCAAAGGCTATTGTCTTAGGCGCAGGTAGAATGTCGAACTTTACGTTAGCCAAGTCCTCCTCCTTCTTCTTCTCCTCCTCCTCAAGGCTACATGTAATCACAGAGCTCTTCTTGAGTTTCTTTGACGACGGAGTTTTGGACCCCAGCTCTTTTGAGCCACTAACCTCTGCATCCTTCATCTCCACATCTTTTGACTTAATTAGTCCTGAGAAACGTGGATTGCTCCCGAGCATTAACATAGTGGGAATCTTGATAGCTAGCGGAGCAGCGACACCAGGATGCGGATGTTGAATTGGAAGCACATCATCCATATCAAATAAGTTATTTCGGCTCTCATGCTTGTCCTCATTCCTATCCGGAATAATGGAAGGGGCGTCCTTCATCGCTACGTGCGGAGCTTCCCCTGGTACATTTGAGCTAGGAATCTTCCGCAAGTACAACGGTATGAAGTGTGTCTTCTTGGCATCCTTCTCCTCTTGAGACGACCGTCGCCTCTTTGGAGCCATTGCTTTTCAAAAAAAACAATGCTGGGGGACGACTCTTAAATGAATGACCTAATCCCCACTATCACAAGCTCCACCTCGACAGCTCGAGTTAAAGTACACGCACGACTTTGGACAGCCGCTCCGCTGCAGAGATTCGTGTAGCGTGTCGCAAGTCAAACTAACGAGAAGTTGAGTTGGTTAGTAAAATATCTTCCAATCAAGATTCAACCGAGAATTCGTCAACTCATTAATCCCTACACTAGATCGAAAGCTTTCGAAAAGTCGCTAACAAAGCAGACTGGAGGATTTGGAATCACCCAACCGGAGAATCTCAAGAGAATCGAAATTAATTCTGTGGAACGTAGCAGTGACATTCCTGACAAGAAAGAGATTATTCCCATCTCTGAAACACTTATCATGACAGACTGTCCGTCCATCTCTCTCTCTCTCTGTCACAGAATGACATCGCAACATGGCACCTAACATGACTCCTCATAATACTCTCGGCACAACATCTCTTCATCCAGACTCTCTAGGTAATCCCATCCACAGACGCATCGCCAGCTACTCGTATATCCACACCAACACGGAAACGCCTCACATCATTCTGCCTTATACCTGTACGCGGTCTATCTCCATGCCAGCCACATCTGCATCATTACTACTACACTTCTGAGCGACAGCAACAGGAACGTGCTCCCTGCAATCGTGATTCCCATGCTTTTCATAGAAACCCAGCAATTCAATGCAGAGAGAGAGACAGAGACAGAGAGTAACCCCTCTCTGTAACGTCCACAGCCCTTCCAACCCATCATCAGTCAGCTGCTGATCTCAAACGACGCTGCGAGTCCACACACACATCGGCCCGGTTCCCTCTTCGCGTCAAGTTTACCGTCCACAGCGTCTTGTTCGGCGTCTGTACAGACGGTTTGTGGCACCGAAACGCCACCCTGACCAAGCGGGGATTGCGAACGAGGTGGGTCTAACGCCTCTGCGGACGAAACTGCTTCGATGACACGAGAGATCATCGCTGTGTCTAAGCAGGAGCAACTGCGATGCCATGCACCGTTGCATCAGCAGCAGCATCTCGTGCGTGACTGACTGCGCATCAACGCATCGAGGCTCCATGAAGGAATCCCATCAACCGGGTGCAGCGGCTGTGTTCTAAAGCTGGGGGTGTTGGAGGACATCCTCGCTTCTCACTTCGCCGACCGGCACATTTTGGCGGCGTTCACCTTCGCCCACAGTCCCGCTCAAATTTGAGTTGCGCCTACGTAGCCGCTTGCGTGGATGCTGAGGTGGGTGCTTATGTGGATGCTTACGTGGACGCTTGCGTGAATATTGAGGTGGATGCTTACGTGGACGTTGAACGTTCCATTCTTGAAGCGCAAGATGGGGATTGTGGGAGTATGAGAATGAAGTGATACATGAATGGAATTTCATGAAGATATTTGTTAATATTGGCTTTCAGTGTAGAAAAGTATTCATAATAATGAAAACAGCAATGGATTATCTAATTATGGAATGGAAAGTGATGCATAGATTTTATTTATTTATTTATTTATTTATTTATTTACTTATGATGTGATGTGTTAAGAGAAAATAAAGCTCTAAAATATGAATGTTAAGTGAAACCATCTGGTTTCATTAAAAACATGTCCATTTAAGAGAAATTAACTGATCAAGAATTAATAGTATATTTGAACCATTTATAAGATTTTAAATTATAATTATAAATTTTATATTTGGTTTATCTTTTTAAATAACTATATAAACATATACATATATACATATATATATATATATATATATATATAATATTCATTGTGCGATCTATCTTGATACACTAATCTCATTACAAAAAATTAAAAAAAAATAAGCAAAAGTAATACCATTAATTAATCTTTTTAACTAAAATAAAAATAAGTTGCATGTAACACAATTACTTGAATCTAATCAAACCAATAATTGTCCTTAATTTGTAAGCATGTTTAATCCCATCTACTATAACACATCTTTGCTACACCTTTTTGTTTTGTGTTTTCACTTAAAAGATTTACATATAATACTTTGATTAGATATATTTTCCAACTCTTTCACAGAGAACGTCTTATGGAAAGATGCCCGCTTGAAGCATCCATCTTTGATAATAGCAGCACTGGTTGAAACATTTCTCAACATTTTTCACAATCACAAAGAGCCTTTTTAGGTTTTATTTTTATTTTATTGTTGTTGTTGTTGTTGGCAATTAGTAATGTTATATCAATCAGTTGGTATTGTTGATGTTGCTAAAAGATTCTATCATTGATCTTGATGGATATTGTTCCTCCTCGGTGGGGTTTAATAGCTTGATATTATAAGAATTTAAAATAATTCATTTATTTTTAAATTTTTTTAATTTGAAAGAATAATTAAAATATTAAAAAATCAAAATTTAAACTTAAATATCCCAACTTAAAATGTTATTGGTGGTATCAAATAACAACAAATGAAAGCAATTTTTCACCATTAGTAGTGGATAGTAATAATATAATTAATTAAATAAATTATCATCACAAAAATTTATTAATTTCTAACTTACTAAAGAAATTAATGATCAATAATCAGAAAATGTTGGTATTGTGAGGTGTATTCAACAATGTCACATTGTTAAAAATCTCAACAAGTTTTAGTATTCAAGTAATTATATTCTATACAATTCATAGGTCTTTATATCAAAAAGTCCAATTTAGAAAGTTATGGTATAAATACATTACAAAGGTCCTTTAACTGGTCAAGAAAAATGCTCCTTTGAAATCCTTGGTTTTTTGAGATATTATTCTATAAGAAGATGCCAAAAAATGGACCAAATGTTATTATTATTATAAGTCTACAAATATTAAATTAAATCTTGATTCTAGCAGTCATAAAAAAATATATAAATGTTAATTTTTAATAAGATTATTCTAAATTTTATGCTAAGATATTTAACTATGTCTTTGATTTTGTTGAGAGCATTAAATGTAGCTGGTGCTCTCCATATTATTTACTCTAGTCTACAGTATTTATTATAGCTACAATGTTTGGAATATAGTAGGGAGAAACTATTTTTCTTCTCCCCTTTTCTTTATATAAGAGATATAATCCTATCAATAAACTCACTTCTTGTGTGTGTATGTTTATATATGTGTGCATATTACTTCTAGTTACTCTTGTCTCTCTCTCTCTAAAACATTCTCAACATGTTATTAGCACAATTACTCTTATACCATAGTCTTGGTTCTTAAAAACGTATGTGCACTTTATCCTTTATTTTCTCCTTGATTTTTTTTTCTTCTTATACTATTTTTGCTATTGTGTTGTTGTTGTTGTTGTTGCTGCTATTGTTGTTGCTGTCATGTGTTGATGTTGTTGTGCTGCTGCTCTTGCTTTTGCTGTCATATATTGTTGTTGTTGTTGTTGGTGCTGTTGTTGTTGTCATGTGTTGATATTGTTATGTTGCTACTCCTGCTTTTGCTATCATGTATTGTTGCTGTTGTTGTTGGTGGTGCTGCTGTTGCTATGCTGTGCTACTGTTGCTATGTTGTGCTACTGTATTGTCATACTTTGTTGCCAAATTTTTGCACCCTGTGATAGTCTACCACAGACCCTTATTTTTGTGGAAAAAAAAAAAAAAAAAAAAAAAAAAAAAACTCCTAAATTTTTTATTATTTTTTTTTTCAGATTTATTTATAATGAGTGCTTCAACATCCTCAATTGCATCTACTATGTTTTAAACTATCACCACTACATCTCAATATTTTCAAGCTCTTCTATTTCCACCACTGATTGCTGATGGAAAAAATTATCTATTATGAGTAAAAATGGCAAAAGCAAATTTATTTGTAGAACAACTCGTCGATACAATTCTATTTGAAGAATCTCTTATTGTAAGTACTTCAATTCCTATTGCTTTCTATTAAAAAATACTTCTTCTCTTTCATTGATATCTTGTATCTACATTGCAATATCAATATTTGGAAATGGAAGATCTAACCAAGCTCTAGGAAAATCTTAAATCCACATTTGATCAACAAAAGACCATTTTCCTTTCATGTGTATGTCATGATTGGACACATTTATACATATTGGATTTTCCAAATTTAAATGCTTTTAACAATGAAATGTATCGTATTGTCTTATAACTACGATTATGTAGACAAAGCATCTTTGAAGAAGAAATGATTAAAAAAACTCTCTCTACATTTCCTCCCACATCTGCTGTGCTTATACAATAATATAAGAGCATGAAATTTTAAAGTCATCCTGATTTCATGTCTTGTCTATTTCTTGTAGAGAAACAAAACGAGCTATTCTTCCATAATGCAGAAGCTTGTCCTATTGGAACCACGTTTCTAGAATCTCATGCATTTAATATTCCGAAGTCTAAGAAACAATTATACAAACATGAAAAAAATGCTCATAAGCACCAAGTCAGTCATGGTCGTGACTATTTCTACTCATACAGAAAGAATAAATGTTCTACAATTAATTGCAATAAAAAATAAAAATCAAAGATACGTTGTTGTATTACATGTTGATTTGCTTGGAAATGCACTGGACACCTAGTTATAGAAGGTGAGGTTGTGTTTCACAAACATCTAAAAAATCCTAATAGGTTACATCCATACAAAAAAAATATAATCCGAATTTCAATTCAAAAGTACTAAAAAATACTCTTCTTAGTAGCCTTAATCATACATAAAGCCGAATTACCTTGTTACTTTCATATTTAAGCAATTTAGATTTTTCTTGTAAGTCCTAACTCTAATCAATGATCTTTCACAAGCTATAACTTCTAATTTGATCATTTACTTGATGTGAAATTTTGCATGCAATTGTTAATATAAATTTTCTATATGCTCAAGAATTTTCAACCCAATCCAACTTACAAATTGTGAGAGAACTTCCAAAAACTACATTGATGTCACTCGCCTGCCAACTTGAAGGATGAAGCAAAAGTTCTAGTAGTGATTTTTTCTTCTCCAATAATTGACTTCAACTCAAAATTGGTGTGCAGCTTGATCTTCAAGTCTTTCAATACCATGCCAAATTTTATCTTGATTCGACTAGTAGATCTTTTAATATTATAGAAATCCTATCCAATCTAAAACTGCCAACTTCTAAAATCCTCTTGTTTTAAAAACCAAATATCTCTAAACTACACCGTTAGATTATCACAAAATTTTATATACACTTAGTACACCTAATAATCCAAGCAACGTCAAATTTTGAATTATAGATGTTATACCAATTGTACGAACTAGCCAAAATTGCTAGCCATAATTATATTATATGAAATCTAAATCACCAATACTAACTCTAATTTTGAATAATAATTGCCAAATTTCTAAAAAACTTTAAAAAATAATCCTTATGCCTTTGAATAGATCTTCAAGATAGCTCTCAAATCCTAATCTTTGATCTTCAAATAAAATCCTAATTTTCCCTAAGCAATCATTTTAGTAACTAGAGGTCTAATTTTGACCTTGTTTCACAAACGATCAATCCCCATGTATGAATCTAATCTATCATAAGGATTTTTTAGTCTAATCCTACTGTCAACTTGATCCTAGTATCAACCATACCAACCATTTACCTCTTCTACCTTGATTTTAATAATTTATGGCCTTTCTAAGGCAGTAAAAAAGTTTCTATATCCTAGAAGATAAAAATATTAACTAATTTTTATCTACTTGCTATTAAGACAAGAAAATTAAAATTTTGATTCTTGCACAAAACCATAAAGTTATAAAAAAAAACTTTACTACAACAAATGGTTTATATTGGATTGTAATCTAGCCTCCAATTGTCATAAACATACAACTAAAAAAGGTTCTAGAAGGTTCTAAAAGATTCTAAAAGATTCTAAAATGTACCAATAAGTTCTAAGAAGGCTCTTGAAGGTTCCAGAAGGTTTCAAAAGGTTCCAATAGATTCTAAGAAAGTTCTAGAAGGTCATAAGAGGTTCTAAAAGGTTCTAGGAGGATTTAGATGATTTAAGAACTTATTGAAGAAGGATCTTAGGCTTGCTTCATTATCAAGCTCCATGAAATTTTTTCAAGAATCTTCTTAGGACCTGTCA